ATACGCGGCTGGGTCTATTAACCGTGGGCTTAATAACCGGCGACTACTGTACACAAATGGAGAGTACCCGCTAAGTCGTTCTGTACGCGCATTTGCCCTTTTAGCCCGGGGAATAAAACCCATTTCCTAGTTTTGAACACGATATTAATGACGTGCCTTTATCCTCGCTATGAATCGCTTTTAGGGCAGGCCGTTTAGTCTAAGCACTATTTTTGAAACTAACATGTCGGCACTTTGCTTCGTCCCGTTTGCTGTTTATAGTCAATAAGGCATTGCTGTTTCTCGTGGACCTTTTAACAACACATCGCCTTGAGGAGCCCGCCAAAGAATCGGAGGACAAACCGCAGGCTCACGTATACGCGCCTGGCTTTTACGGGATCCAAACCTATGCTCGCGAGTTGCTGGCTTCGCAGGACGCCATTCTGTCCTGTTTCATCGCTTTGACTACAGTTCCCGTCTCCAGTCTTCAGCTGCCGGCCGACTTGTTGGTTTTTGAGTGAGTTTCTTTGCCTTCCCACCGATTCCTATATCTCACTGTCAGTCCGCAAGCTTTCATAACCCCCTCCCCCCGATTCATAATCACTCGACTGCAGTTCATCCTATTTCTTTCCTTCCTTCTTTTCTGTCTCCCTCGTCTAAGTTTCCTGCGTTTTCCAACAAATCTGCAGACGGACCAACGTTTCGTCCTTGTCTTAGGGCAACCAAAGGAAAGATCCACTTGGCTCTCCCTCACCCTGATTCATCTCCTCTTTCCGCCGCACGTGGACGCCACTACTCCACCACAGAACCGTCTGTTGGAATCTTTGAAAGGAGTGCACACCCGGCAGGGTGAAGCCTACTTCCTGAAAATTTTACGATTTCTCGATTTTACATGCAGCACCGGTCTCACGCGTGCTGCTGTGAACGTCCTGAAAAAGATGGTTCAGGTTAGCTTTCTTGCAGATATCAGTGCTACTGTTACCATACAACACGACCGGAAATTCATGCAAAAATACTACTACGACTGCTGCAAAAAATACCAACAATGTTACTCCTGGTTCTACCACCACCACCGCCACTAAAGCTGCCCATACTTCTACTAAGACTACTACTACTACTGCTACTATTATTATTACTGCTAATACTACTACTACTACTACCAAAATTACCAATGCTGATACTACAATCAGTATTACTACGATCACCACTTCCCATACTACTACCATTACTAGTATTGCCGCCATCATGATGATAATGATGATTACGATTGGCGTTAATTCTCATTGGCCTTTCTACCCCCTACGGTTTCCTCCACGTTTCAGTATTCAGACAAGCTGGTATCACCGTTTCTTGGAAAAATTTCAAACAATCTCCAGAGTATCACTCTGCAGCGGCTGGCTTCGCCATCCGCAGACCAGATCACTCGTTCCAGCCTCTTTGATTGGCTCGCCGAGGCGGTGCTCTTTGACGCGCTCAAGGGTCCTGGAGCCTCGCTCTTCCAGGGATCTGGTTTTACTCTCCTACGCATCCTCTGCTCTCCACCGAAGTCTTCAGCAGGTGATACCAATGGAAGTAACGGCAAGACTTCTGAGCAACCCCTGGATATTCTCAGTGTGCTGCTTTCCACACTAGATGAAATCGATGTGAGTTGCGGGGAAATTTCTTGCGGCGGAATGACTTGTCTATTCCAGAGGTGATAGTCTCTGTTTTCGGTGATTTGAGTTAGGAAGTAAGGTAGAGATATATATGCGATTGTATTTGTTTCAATATACCAAATAGAATAAAATTCCATGAATACAAACTCCTGTTGCGCAGGATGCGGATGTCGATTGAAGCAAATTTGACCTTATATTGGCAGAATTTAACGAAAAGGAAACTTGACCTATTGGTGGAATTTAACGAAAAAGGGAGAGTCGGGTTACTGAAAAGGTAAAAGTAGGTTATTGTTATAAGTCAAAGAAGACAAAAAGGCCCTCTAAAGTCTGTCCTGCCAAAATTGATTTCCGTTGGCAGTATACATCAGTATATTTAAGGTCTATAGGCGTAGTGTATATTTGGGCGAAAACCCGTCAACCACTGCGTAATATGCGCATGGTGCTAACAGACGGACTGTAGTAGCATATATTGATGTTGTAA